ATTATCAAGAGCAGAGAGAAGAAGTTTAAGCTGATTCTGAAGGAAAAAATTAGGCTTTACCTGTTTCTCTTTGGGCTTTGACTAACAAATGACAAAGATTTTTAGGTTTAAAAAGGTTTTTCAATTATGTTTTCTTGTTTTTCTAGTGAATGTGATTGGAAAAGCTCCTCAGGCAGAGCTGAACGCTTCTGGATCAGTTTGAAAAAGTCTCCAGAATGATTGATGGAAGAAGGCTTAAAGGGAAGAAGAGCCTTTATTGAGGATGGATTGGAAGCTATTATCAAGAGCAGAGAGACGAAGTTTAAGCTGATTCTGAAGGAAAGGGAGAGAAAAAACACCTGAAGAAGAACTGAAGCTATTATCAAAAGCAGAGAGACGAAGTTTAAGCATATTCGGAAGGAAAAGGAGGCTTTACCTGCTTCTCTTTGGGCTTTAACTACCAAATAACTGAGTGTAACTCAGTTGACAAATTCATATTGAAAAGGTAAATAATAATAAAAATAATAACAATAAATACTGATAATTCTGATTAACAATTCATGAATGATGGGTTGATATTGTTAAAAAACATGATTTTGATATATATATATATTTATGTATTTGATATAGCAGTACTTTTACTTTGACAGTTACAATTTGATTACTTTTATTTTGACATCTGTTTATAACGGCTTCCCGTGGAACCGTTTGTCAGTTGAGCTGAGAAGAGCTAGGAAGCTAAAGACTCCGTTTCCTTTGCTACACCACGGAGTTAGAAATTGGAAAAAAAAAATTACATAAGATTTTCAGGTTTCCCTCATTAGCTGCCAAAGACGTCTATAGACGTCAATTCAAATACAACCGTTGACCGCCAAAGACCTCCATAGACGTCTTTTCTGTTTTTCAACGAGAGTGGCTGGGGGACGATCTGCTAAAGTTTTTCCGTAAATATCGGCTTCTAGACAGAGTATGTAGTAACAAATTGACCCTCTAGGGGGCAGTGCCACTTTTGATGGGAGATGAGCATAGACTGTAGGCAAATAAGAAAAATGTAACGCTTCGCTATGAGAGAACATGTCGCCGGTGAGACTTAAGTCCAGGAAGAACGGAATAAGGTAGAAACAAATTTTTTTTCCTGA